GTTAGGTTTTAGAAAAATGATGCAGGTTATAGGCTCACACTAGCTTACGCCTTAATTAGCCTGAACTAACGTCTGCTCCAAAAGTGGTCTCCAGCATTTATATATGTTTTTTTGCAACATGAACATCTCTTATATATCAAACTGGCAGTTTAGTTTTCACCAATGATCTGTGAAGAGTTAATGTTAAAAGTTCACTTAATTTATACTACTTATAAAAGAGAATACTCATATCAAAACTTTTGATTTTCTTTTTTATCCTCTTAATTTTTTATAACTCAAAATTATATTATTAATTATTAAACTAATAATTCATAACCTCTCATTAACTATGCACCTTTTCATTTTCTCAAATTATTTGGTCATTCTCTAGAATATATTAATAATTTATAATGATAACAAAATTCATAAATATATGATAATTTATTATAAAGAATTATTAATTATATAAAATAGTGAAAGTCATTCATTTAATAAATTATTACACATAATTATAATTATTAATAATAGTATAAATATGGGTTATTTCTTTATGTTGTAAAGAATATTACCTTGTTTGATAATTAATATCATCTTAGTAATAAAAAATTAGATGTTATAAATTAATAATACTTTTATTTTGAAAAATTAATTTATAAAAAATTTGGATCCTTAAAATTTATGAGACATACTTTTCTCTTCTTTTTCTCAAAATATTTAGCCACTCACTAGAATATACTAATAATTTATAATGATAATAAAATTAATAAATATATTATAATTTATTATAAAAGAATTATTAATTATAATGAAATAGTAAAATTATTTCTTTAATAAAATATTGTACATAATTATATTTATTAATAATAGTATAAATAGGGATTGATTTTTTATATTATAACGATTATTACCCTTTTCGATATTATAATATCGTCTTAGTCATAAAAATTAGACATTATGAATTAAAAATACTTTTATTTAGAAAAATTAATTTATATGAAAATATTGGACATGTGAAATTTATGAGTCATGTACTTTTTGTTGGAAAGTAAATATTTCATATTTTTTCAAGGATCCAATATTTTTACGTAAAATACTTTTTATAAATAATAGTATTTTTAATTTATACCAACTTTTGGGGCCTGGACACATTTTTCCCTAAAAATTATTGTCATTTATTTAATAGATATTATAATAAAATATGTACATAACATAAATATTTAATAATTTAAATGGTTTAATTATATCAATAGTGTTACTTAAACTAATAATTACATTATTATTTAATAATTATACTCCTAAATAAATTATTTAATAATATAATAATAAAAATTTTAAATAACTATTAAATGTATGTTTGTAATAGAATAAAAATACTAATAATAGTATAAGTTAAAAAAAATTTAATCATAGTGCAATAAAATAACTTTTAATGGTTATATATAATTTATTAAATAATATAATATTAAATACAACAACATGTCCACGTGCTTTTGCACGTGCGTTATACTAGTTATAATTAAAAGCTTGAACATCAATCATTCGATAAGAAAAGTTTGAAGGATAATTGTGAGGGAAATTCAAACTGACCCAGGGCTCATAAAAGATAATAAAGGTAAAAGAAAAACCTAACCAACCAGTAAAAATACAGCACAATGTTTTGGTTCTCAGGTCTCATATTGGAGATTATTAGAACTCATCGTCTGCCAGCATCCATCTGTACTGCTTAAAGCTACAAGTTGAGAGACAACAAGCATACAACAAAGCACAGATACGCACGAAAGAAACTACAAACTTACAACAAAGCAACTGTACCACCTACGCATATAAGAAGCTCAGAGCTATAAAGTTTAAGAGACTAAAGGGTTCCTTCTCTCTGCTACTAACTGCAAAGAGAAACTAGGTTCTCAGGACTGAAACTTCAAACATATACTGCTAAGACCTGTCTAAAGTTTGGATACCCATTTATTTAGGCCTGCTACTCCTCACCTCAGGCTACATCGAACTTGAGTACGAAACACTAGAAAAACTTCATCCAAGTCCATCCTTCAGCTTTGAAAAGTCTCCACCATGTCTCCTTTTATGGCCTCCGAACCCGCAGCACCCCCCTAGGTTGTGCAAGCCCCATCCTTTCCCTGTATGCTTGTAACTCTCTCCGGTACCTTTCCTTATCTCTCTTCCCGTAGGCATCATACACCTGCACAAAAGATAGCGAAGCGAATGAAAGCGGTTCAACAATTCTCCACAGCGATTCATTTCGTACTTTTAATAAACTGCTTACGTACCCCCCTTTCTTCCTCGGTGAGTTTGCTCCAGGAGTCACCGATCATTTTGCTGTACTGTCTTTCCTTGCGAGGATGCTCAACTTTGAGCTTAGCATGCTCCTCAGCGAAGAAAAAGTTATAAGCACTTCTATTAGGCTTCGGCTGACCTGGTGCTCGGTTCTTGTACTTCTTTCTCCTTTGGGAAGAACGAGTTTGAGGAATATAAGGATCGGTAACATTGGATGGAGATTGTTCCAGAAGGGAATTGGTTCCTGATGTGGGGTAGTTGGATTGATGGAGAGAGGAGTAAGCTGCATCCAGAGGGTGAGCATGATACAGAACCCCATGAAGGACTTGGGTCCCAACCCGGACAGATACAAAATAACCATGCTCGAATTTACCGTCTATTGTTCCCGACACTGACAAATTCTGAACCCCTGAAAACAGCGGTGCTTGATTTATTATTACAATCTGATATTAGGGGCAAGATGAAACTACTGATATCGGATATCAATTATGACCTCATTTAGCAAAATGAGCTACCAAGAGATAGATGTGGTGAGATCCACGTTGTACGCAGTGAATTACACCTCTAGTCTATCTCTAACTCATTTTCCTCACCTCATATCCAATTTTTACTACCATCATTAATTTTCTCACCAGTTGATGAACTTCCAGCCAAAGTCGGGTTGGTTGAGATAGGACCAGATGGCGTTGCTTGATGGCCATCTGCATTTGAAACAGCATACTTTTCCGCTGTAACATGAAAAAGAAAGGGTTGAATAAAGCTAATCTTCCATAATGAGAGAGGGAGAGAGGGAGTGTGAACCTCACCAGTTGGAGTACTCTCTCCTGATGTCGGGGCACTTGCAGCAGAATGAGAACCCAAAACTCCATTTGCATCTGCATCTAGAGGAATGGATGGACATGAAGATTTTTTTTTTTCTCCCCAAGTTAGTACATTATAAAATGGACTATATAATATGAACTCATTCTCTACAGTACAAGCTCAACAACCAAAGAAAGAGGGAAACGAGACTCACAGGTTACTGTTTTGTCTTCGACGATAGCAGGAGCCTTAGCAACATAACTGGCTTCTCCAGGTTCATGGCCTTTGATAGGGCGAGGGATTGCAGGCATCACTTAATAGGATAAAGAGAGGAAATACAGGTGAAATCAAGATAGAGCTTATTATAGTGTTGTTTATGTAATGCAAATGAAGTATCCATTCAACACATCTTATAGTCTCAGTAAATGTTACGCACATTCAAGTTTTTAAGGTTAATATAAGTTATTGATAATTAAATTTTGGTTTATGCATTAGATCTCTATTCTGATGAAATGCTACCAGTTCTTTCCAAGGAATGAAATGAGTTAGGACTATGATATGAACAGAATCCAGTGCGGCGATGATGTAGGACACTTGATGGACAATTTCATGGAGTATCGGGACGATAACAAGCTAAATGCGCATACATACATATTATTAATTTCCGGAAAGAAACGATCATATCTTCCAATTTAAAAGGTAGATTCTGACATATTATATATGTAAATCGCCTATCTCGACGATACAAAGCTAACCGGATTGTTAGATTTCTAAAATCTCATTTGTATAACCAGTTATTAGCAGAAATCCGAAAATAATTTAATATTTAGTTTATTTTTAGTAATAAAATTAGAGTTTATTTAGATTAGGAAATAAATTCTATTTAGATTCATGTTGGACTGGTTTGTTTCCTTTATTATAGGCAGTCTTTTTAGAGTAAAATTTAATACTTTTTATTGCTTTGTAATTCTAGTCTTATTAGGAGTATATTCTGTTTTTCAATTTAAGAAGACTCGTGTAACTCTAGAACAATTAGATCACTTTTAACAATAAAATTTTCTTTTATATTACATCGTGGATTCGAAATTATCTCTTTGTGGATTCAGAGAATACCGTTTGGTGGATTTTGAGATTTTTTACTTTTGCGCTGCGTTAATTGGCATCAGAGACCTCTTTCTCCGATCCGATGATAGGCGATGAAGCCCGTACGATCCGAATTGAGTTTGATGAGTTGAAGATGGGAGTTACTTAGATGAAAACTGTCACAGACCAACTTGTGTTGGCGATGGACTGTCTGAATCCGGGACGAGTTCGGGATTGCGTTGATGGTCGCCAAAAACAAGATCCAACTCTGCAAGACAAATCCTACAGTGATTATTGTAGAGGCTACCAAAGAAAGGAGGACTATGACGCTGGAGGATTAAAGATATCATTCTTTAACGGAAAACTTCATGCTGATGATGTCCTTGATTGGATTGATGAGTGGATAGATATTTTGAGTATGAGATAATCCTAGAAGATTGGAAAGTTAAATTAGTGGTTTACCAATTTAAAGAAAAAGCATTTGCATGGTAGGATAAAGTATTGATAAATCAATACCATCAATGGAAGGATCCGGTTTAAACGTGGGCAAAGATGAAGAAATTATTGAGAGACCATTTCTTACCTTCTAAGTAGAAACAATATTGGATGTCTTTGAAAGGTTCATTTACCTTAGCCGACACAATCCATTTAGCGAAGAAGGTGGAGAGAGAACTTGAGCAGAACAACAAAGGACCTTCATTATGGATGTTTTTAGAGAATTATCAAACTGATTATGATTATAGCAAAACTAAGAAACCTCAATTCATCTCTAAGGAAAAGTCTGGATTTGTGAAGAACACCGAAGAAGCAATAAGACTTCATCAATTTTTTCAATCATAGAATTAGAGGTATTTAAGACAGAGATTGCTAAGGAGAATGTTTTTCTAATGGCAGACAATGACACACTTACCACTAAAAAGAAAAATTCTGCCACCATCAAGATTTATCTTGAGGTTCCTAATGTTAATAGTGATGTGTTAATGAAGACGCATATTATGTATGATATTGTGAGTGATGTTACACATATTGATGTTGTCCTGATGGAGGAGAATGATAAATTAAAAAGTAAGATAATTGATAATATGTGTGAATTGCTTGGTAGAGGGCTCGAGGTAAAGGATATTAAAGAATTGCGCATGGAGTATGAGGGAGAATTTTCTTCTTTGGAAGCAAAAGTTGTGAATAATTTCAAGAAGATTTTGATGATACTTCAGGCGCAAGAATATAAAAAACAACAAGAAAAATTTTGGAGAAGTTTTTCAAGTCATTTGTAGATCCACATGTTGTCAACCACGTAAGCATGGTGTGGAAAAGATTTATTCAAAAGTTTAATTCAAAAGAAACCCTAGCCGAAGAGATAAAACAACATATGGAGAAAATCAATGCTAAGTACAAGGTGGATGCTGATTGATGCAAAAAAAAAAATTATGTATCGATGAAGCTACTATTCAAATAAATATAAGCTCAGAGTCGAGGTTCTTTCAACAAGGGGAGACTGATATAAGACACTTGACGGATAATTTCACTGAGGATCAGGACAATCACAAGCTAAATGCGTATACATACATGTTATTGAATTTTAGAAAAAAAAGATCATATCTTCCAATCCAAAAGGTAAATTTTGACATATTATATATGTAAATCGTCTATCTCGATGAGACGAAGCCAACCGTATTGTTAGATTTATAAAATTTCATCATTATTATCAGTTATTAGCAGAAATCCAAAAATAATTAAAATTTAGTTTATTTTTAATAATAAAGTTAGGGTTTATTTAGATTAAAAATAAATTCAATTCTGATTCATGTTGAAATGATTTGTTTTATTTATTATAGGGAGTCTTTTTAGGATAGGATTTGATACTTTCTATGTTTTTATAATTCTAGTCTTATTAGGAGTTTATTTTGTTTTTCTATTTAAGCAAGGTCATGTAACTCTAAAATGATTAAATCACTTTTATTAATAAATTTCTCTTTTATATTACTTCGTGGATTCGAGGTTGTCTCTTTGTGGATCAAGGATTGTTCTTTATGAATTCAGAGAACACCCCTTGATGGATTCCGAGGTTTCTTACTTCCGCGTTGCATTAGGTGAGGGATTTACGAAGTAGTATTTACAAAGTCAATAATGATGATAAACCATATAATAATCTAGTAACACAAACATCATAGGGATTCACAAATTTTTTTTCTTCACAACCCAATCAATTCTAGTAAACTAAGTAGTTACAACAATACATGCATCCATTTGACCATGTTAAACCCCACCAAATTTCAAGGAAAGGTTATCCAGCCACATACAGGTGAGTGGTGACTGATTGCTTTGTTCAAAGAGTTTTTGAATTTGTTCCATCTCAATCGGAAAACTAGTGATATGAAATATTCACATCTGACCCAAATCATAACGATTCTAGATGATATTCTGGCATACAAATACACTAATATGTGCATGATTAAGAAAGGAGAAAGGGGGAGATGGAATTCACCAGTTTGAGCTTTATCCACAGATAGGGGAACTGCAGCAGAAGAGGAACCTGCAAGACCGTTAACATCAGCGTTTCGATGAATGTAAGAAAAAGTTTAGTTTTCGTGCAACTACAACAGAAGTTAACTCACTCCCAACATTACAAATAAAATTAGAAAAGTGGTCGATGGATCTCACCAATTGACGGTCTGAATCCAATGGGAATAGGAGATTGAGGGGCATTATCGACTGATAGGCACATATGACGTTCTCGAATATGAGCGGGTGCTGGAACCACTGGGAGAATCGAAAAGAGCAAAAGATGGTGAGCATAAATTAGCATTGCAACATTACATAACCAGAGGCCAAACTTAATTCTTCGAGTAATACAAGTACAGTAATGAGCAGTCAATTTCTTCAAATAAACTAGTGAGATAGAGAATGGTAGTATTATGAGAATTGTAGTATTATCCGAGACTTTCTTGTTTCTATACAAACAGTTATTATAACATGATGCGAAAACTAGCTTCTTAACTTACGCGATAGCATCTCTCACCAATAAGCCCTTACCTTTTCTGACCTCCCTCTACTCTACTTAGGTGTATCTCTCTATATCTATATCTATATCTATAATATATATAGAGGGAGAGAGAAGCAACTAGGGGAATGTGTGTTGAAAAGGCTCCTCCTTCATTTTTGTTCAAATGAATTTTTTGATTAGGTACATTTAGGAATTGGAAACAGTGAGATTCAGACAATAGTATTTCAGTAATACCATATAACATTCTTTGGAATTCAAGCTTCCGTTTTTGGATAAATACTTTACCACTTGACCAGAGCTTAACAAAGTAGGTAGTAAGCTTGTCTTCTACTTCTTGACATGTTCTTTAACAATAATAATCCGATAATTACCATATTTATGGTTACTTCTTAATTTTTTGCCCTCTTTGAGATTAATCCCACTATAATTTAATTTAGTGAAGTCCGTCAGCATTTAACTTGGTTTAAGATTCGATCACAACAATCACGGTGGGCCTCACTAAAAGGACCCATGGGCTGAATACAAGTGAAATCAAGATAGAGCTTATTATAGTTTTGTTTATGCAATGCAAATGAAGTATCCATTCAACACATTTCATAGTCTTAGTAAATATTGAGGACATGCAAGTTTTTAAGGTTAATATAAGTTATTGATTATTGAAATAAGAAAATTTTGGTTTATGCGTTAGATCTTTATTCTGATGAAATGCTAACAGTTCTCTCCAAGAAATGAAATGAGTTAGGACTATGATGGGAATAGAATCCAGTGCGGCAAGGGATTTACAAAGTAGTATTCAAAAAGTCAACTAACGCTGGTAAACCAGATAATAATCCAGTAATGCAAACATCATAGGGATTCACATTTTTTTCTTCACAACCCAATCAATTCAAGTAAACTAAATGGTTACAATAATACATGCATCTGTTTGATCATGTTAAACCTCGCCAAATTTCAAGGAAAGGTTATCTAGCCAGATACATGTGAGTGGTGATTGATTGCTTTATTCAAAGAAGAGTTTTTTGAAATTGTTCCATCTCAATCGGGAAACTAGTGATATGAAATATTCACATCTGGTCCAAATCATAACTGATTCTAGATGATATTATGGCATACAAATTACACTAACATGCGCATGATTGAGAAAGGAGAAAGGGGGAGATGGAATTCACCTGTTTGAGCATTATCCAAAGTTAGGGGAGCTGCAGCAGAAGAGGAACCTGCGAGACCATTAACATCGGCGTTTGGAATGAATGTAAAAAAAACTAGTTTTCGTGCAACTACAATAGAAGTTAACTCACTCCAACATTTCAAGTAAAATTAGGAAAGGGATCGATGGATCTCACCAATTGATGGTCTGGGTCCAACGAGAATAGGAGATTGAGAGGCATTATCGACTGATAGGCACACATGACCTTCTCGAATATGAGCGGGTGCTGGAACCACTGGAAGAATCAAAAAGAGCAAAAGATGGTGAGCATAAATTAACATTGTAACATTACATAATTAAGGACCATACTTAATTCTTCGAGTAATGAGCAGTCAATTTCGTCAAATAAACTAGCAAGATACAGAATTGTAGTAATATGAGATTTTTTTGTTTCCATCCAATCAATTATTATAACATGATACGAAAACTAGCTTCCTGATGTACGTGATAGCATCTCTCACTAATGACCCCCTACCTTTTTGATCTCCCTCTATTGAGGTGTATCTCTCTCTATATATATATATATATAGAGAGAGAGAGAGAGAGAAAGAGAGAGAGAAAGAGAGAGAGAGACTTATGTCAACTTAAGTGGATCATCCACCAAAGTTTCTATCCATTGATGATACCTAGAGATCCGTGCATCATATGAAGAGGCTTTTCATCAATGAATGGAAACTTTGATGGATGGTCCACTTAAGTTAACATAAGTTTATATATATATATATATA